ACCCCGTCCCTCTAGACAACGTCTACTAGTCATCCCAGAGTGCTGGACACATAATGATTGGCTCAAGCGAGAGGAAGCCAGATTTGGGCTGAATATCAGGAAAAACGTCTTAGCTGTTAGAGCAGTATGACAAGAGAATCAGTTACCTTGGGAGGTGGTGAGTGCTGCAGTGCTGGAGGCATTCAAGAGAATATTGGACAACCATCTGTCAGTTCTGCTTTGCTCTGGATTCGTGCCATGAGCAGAAGGTTGGGGTCGATGGCCTTATAGGCCCTTTCCAGCTCAGTTATTCTACTATTCCATTCTATGAACTAGTTATTTTTTTCCTCCTGCACTACAAGCAGTATAAGGTTCCCATGGCACTTTGAAAAGCTGGTGATTTATTGTGGCATCCTTTTCCATGGAATAGAGTCCACTTCATCAGATGCAATTATGTGTTCTCCCCATTTGAAATGTGATGTACAAGCCTGGTCTACATGAGTAGCAGAACACAGTGTTTGGGGCAATCATGTCCCTGGGGAGCAATATTTTTCTGTTTTAAAAAACCCTCCCCCACGTTGCTTGTTTTAGGAAGAAATAGCAAGTAGGAATTGAAGGCAATGGAACTGTCCGCTTCGGTTTGCGGAATGCTTGTTAATGCTTTTCTATCTTAGAAATTGCATTGAATAGAAAATGATCAATTAAGAAAGTATTCTAAGGATCATGGGGTCCAGCATCCAAACAATGCAAGAAATCGACAATTAAACAAGGCAAATATAGAACCAGCACTGCTGGCAATGAACTAGGATAAAAACTTTCCCCCCTGCTTTGCTAATTTCTGCCTGCAGGAGGGTTGTGTTTTTTAATTGTTGTTTAACTGCAGGAACATTCCAGTCTGGAGTTCCATGAAAGCTACAGCCTCATGTCATACAGTCCATTCTATTACCTTGGTCTCCTGCATACACTGACCAGGTCAGAGTTGTGACCATTTGATCCCAGTGTTTGCATTTGTTATATTTTTTTCTTTCTATTCCTGGAAGCAGATTGATTCTGGGCAAGGTTCTTTTATCTGAGGTCAAACCAGTGAGCTATTAAATAGTTTGACAACCAAAGCAATTGATGATATTTTGAGTATGCAAATGTTTTATGAGAATGACATGACCTGCAAACTCTGTGTGTGTGTGAGTGTGTGTGTGTGTGTGTGTGTGTGTGTGTGTGTGTGTGTGTGTGGGTGTGTGTGTGTGAGAGAGAGAGAGAGAGAGAGAGAGAGAGAGAGAGAGTATTTCTGGTGTCAGAACAAATACAAATGGCTCCTAAGTCCTTTTGCAAACATTAGCCTTGGAGAGCGAGCTCTGACCTTACAGGTCTCCATGAGCTGTCTTGATTATTCATTTTAGAGGGAAGGTCAGTGTTTTACCTATAGAAAAGGTATGCCTCTTAAAAGGAACATTTCTGGGCAATGGGGAAACTAAATGCCTAACAAAATGCCTAAATGACAAAACTTGTCATTTAGGCATTTTGTTAGGGAAAGAGTAGGAGTCGTGATTTACTGCCTCTATGCAGCCCCCAAAACAATTTTATGGTCTGTGAAGGCTCCCCCACCAACCCTACAAAAAATTCACATATCTAGGAAGCATGATTTTTCTCTACAACAAAGCTTTTCTCCAGGTTGTTTGGGGGGGAATAAAAATTTCTATTTTGTCTGTGTGCGTGTGTGTGTGCGTGTGTGTGTGCGTGTGTGCGTGCGTGTGCGTGCATGCATGTGTGTGTGCGTGCACAGATTTCAAAGGGTCCTGGGGCTCTTTGACAAGCACAGATTCCCTTAGATGACAGTTTGGACTGCAGTGGGGTTCATTCATTGGACCTGATAGTCCTGGAAAAAAGATCCTTTGCTTAGCAATTTTGGGTAGGAAGGTAAAAAGCTTTACTTTCTGGTTGAAATGCGATTTTTCTGTATACAGGGACTTACATTGTTTTCTGCAGGGGGAATATGTAATGTTTGGTCTCCTGGGCAAACCCACTGTAGCCCGGCATGAATGCAACACTTCAGTGAGAACTAGGCTTACCCTGATGCCAGTTTCTGTGTATCTGCTGACCCCTACCCTCAACACTGTTCAGTGTGCAGCTGCATTGCCAAGATTTGGTGACAGGGTGGGAGAAAAGAAGTATTTTCACTTCAGCTCAAGATTTGTGTTCTATGTGCATCTTGTTTTAAAGGAAGAATGCTCCTTTTTGGGGTGGATAAATCGCAACTAAATTTTAGTGGCGTGGTAGGTACTACGGTACAACCCTCATGGATCTGAGGGGAATGCACCCCAAACTGTTTGAAAGACCTACCCCACAAGGTTGTTGTGAGTTTTTCAGCTGCCACTTCTCAAGTGATTTGAGCTGGAGTTGGTGGATGGAGGTTGCAGTTGATTCTATCGCTAGTTCGTTCTAATCATCAGAGTGCTGGACTGTGGTTCAGGAGATTTAGGCTCAAATCCCAATCAGAAACTCAATGGTCTTGGGCCAATCGTGCCTTTTCCTACCTCACAGGGTTGTTATGAAGATCAGGTTGGGGGACGGGGAATCACATACGCCATCTTGAGCTCACAGGAAAAACTGTAGGCTGTAAATGCAAACATGCATAAATAATAAATCAACATTTGTATGCAGTTGTTTTATTACATGGTTATACTTGTGGGTTTCTGTGAGATAAAAATGAGGTTGTTATTGTGATGGCTTGATTGTGGGATCCTGTTATCTTTGCTGTGTTATCATGCTTTATTTTATTCCTGCCCCACTTTCCTCTTTATGGTGTTAAACTGATAAGAAGGAACTTTGACCAAGAGATCAGATTTGGGAAACAGTAGGCAAATGTAAGTGTAGCTGGAATTATTTCTTCCTCTAAAATTTTTTTTTTTGGGGGGGGATTCCTTCCCACATTGTTAGGATGCTGTTGTGTACAAGCTGACTTGGTGATATTGATAATATTTCCTTCATGACTGGTCAGCTGTGTGACAGGTCTGACAGACAGATTGTCCTTGTCACATCCCTGCCAGCTTGTAACTGTGGCAGAAATCCTATAGAGTTTTTACATTGGCATAATATATGTGGCAGAAATAGGTGGCAAATCACTGTAGGTTGACAAGTTCATGCCTGCATTTGCTATTGGGCACAGCAAATGCCTATGCGGTTTCCATAACTTGTGTCATTTCACTGCTGAGATTTATGTCAGCTGCTTTACAGTAGGAGGTGTACCAAGTATAGGCATTGAATGGTAGTCACTAGGAGAACCAAAATGGGAGTGATGCTCATGGTGCCAGACATACAGAGTTGGCTCTATGTGCATTTTTGTCTTAGGGCAGAGAAGGGAGCCATTCTTTGTATGGTGTCAGTGATTTAAATACATTGGATCTGCCACTCTTTGGGATAAGGAAAGGGAATTTTCAGCTTGTGGACCTAACGTGGCTCATTGAGGACCTCCATCTTGACTGTGCCAGGTTCCCCAGTTTCCCCACCATCTCAGAAGACAAGAAGAATGGGGGTCCAGAAGCCAAAGACTTTTGCAGTTTGACAGTCACCACTGCCCTGGCCAGCCTTTTTTGCATCATGAAGTCAAGGGAGCCAAAACAGCCACATACAGCTGGCACTTTGAGAGCTAGCAGTCCGTCTCAAAATGTCATCCGAAAGTCTCCAACTTTGCCCTTCCTGTGGGAGGGAAACGGAATGAACAGAACTTGACTCCCAGTCTCAAAATGTCATCCGAAAGTCTCCAACTTTGCCCTTCCTGTGGGAGGGAAACAGGGAATGAACAGAACTTGACTCCCAACAAAAGTAAGCAGGAGACATCCCAGATTGCATTTTGGCCAGGAAGCCAGTGTTGTCATAGAGTGTGCAACCCATAGAGTGTTGCACAGTGGCATGTGAGGCCCGTGATGGAGCGGAAGGATTCGGATTCTGCCTCCAAACCAGTTCCCCACAATAGGGTGTAGGACACAGATGGCTGACCTTAGCAGTTTTGAAAAAAAGCAAAGGATAGAAAAGTAAAAACAGAATATTCTTGGAAGCCTGCTTCCAGTTTGGGGTGGAAGTTGCAGCCACTTTTAATATATAATTGTTTACGTATTTACTTATGTAAACAAAATCATATTCTGGAAGTTTCCAGAAGCAGAAGAGGACAGTTTTTCAGATTCCCCCCCCTCCCAACAGGGATGGAAAAACATACAGTACAGTGGTCACAATAATTGGCTGGGGAGGGGGAGGGGGGCACATACGGTCTTCAAGCTGCACTTTAACCATCCTGGTGGAAGACATGGTATAAAATAATAGCTATCTTTTCTCCCCAATGAACAGAACTTGACTCCCAACAAAAGTCTTTTCTCCCGTCCACTCTTTTTGGTAGGAATTTACTCTTTGTTTCATGAACAAGTTATTCCTCATTTTAGGAGCAAATTAGTCATGTATGCAATGACAGGAAGCTTTCCACCCTCCTATCCCAACGTCCTAGTTGCATTTGTGGCAGATTTTTGCCTTATCATTGCTGTAGAAATCATCCCTCAGGTTTTGCTGCTCAGCTGCCAGTGGCTCTTGACAGTTCAGCAGTTTATCTAGTTCTGCCTTGGTGAGCACAAGCAAGTGACTAGGGATTTTGTAACCTTGAAGAATGCAGATTAATACTTTTTTCTCTCCGCTGCCACAAGCTCCTCTCTTAAGAAGGCAACAAAATATGGTTCTCAGTGCTGCAGCCTCTGGTTTCACTCTAGCCTCGACGCTCCTGTCATATAAATTAAATTGCAAACAAAGAATAGAAAAGTTATACAGTATCTTGAATTTATTTGTCTCATAATTGCTAATGACAAATCTGTCTTGTTTGGTTTTCAGCTCCCAAGAGGACGAAAGACCTATGTCACCCTTCTATCTGAGGTATTTACTTCTGTTTGTTTTCATTTTCTTGGTGGGGAAGTTGGCTTTTAGGAAATCAGTGCTGAGGAAGGCAATTAAAGGTTATTTACCACTGTGCCCCAGAAGAAAATTCCATCAGATTCAGCTGGGAATTTTCTTAGTCAGTGAATTGAAGAGGCTGTAGATTCAGGACCAGCCACAAGAAAGCAGTTCTTCACACAATACATGATTAACCAAAGCAAACTTGAGATTTTAAGTTAAATTATAGCCTGAGGCAAAAAGGTTCAAACCTTTCTCATATGGGTTCTATTTACGAAATTACTTTTCAGAGTTTCTTCAAAACAGGAAAAGATACTAAACAAAAGATAAAAGGCCAAAAAAGATTGGCAATTGCATATAAACAACACAAGGACTCATAATGAACTTAACACTGAAGCTGTTTTTCTCAGCTTTCTATTTAGATTCCCTCCCTCTCGCCAACTGCCTGGTTTTATCGCCCTCACTCCCCCACACTACTTTATCTCTCTCCTCAGCAACAAGAACCATAAAGAGTTTTATGGCACTTTAAATATGACAAGTTTGATTTGGCCTAAGCTTTTGTGGACCGTAGCCCACTTTGAGTGCAAGCAAAAAAATCAAATAAAACCAGTTAGTATTTAAGGTGCCACGACATTCTGCGTTCCTTTTGCTACACATGAGGGAAAACCAATATGGCTACCGTTCTGGAAATCCCATCTCTCTACTAAGCAGTCCCACCCCTCCTTTCTGTGCCATCCCACTTGACCAGTTCCACACCAAGTTGGCTGTGCATTCACATTCATGCATCTCATTGACATGGAGAGAGGAATCGGACCACAAGTCCTGATTGACACCCAAGCATTCAATAGCCCTGCTTCAGCATCTCCCTCTTCATCTCAAGGTAGGGATACTGAAAACAAAGCCACTGAATATGTTGATTTTGCGAGTTGTGGGCAGCAGATACAATCCTCCTTTCCTCTCCACATGTTCTGTGTATGATGGATGCATTGAAACATGTGCACAGGACTTTAGATGCCTTTCTAAAGGAATTAACCAAGTTCAGGGCTAATTACTGGTGGCTGCATATTTTCCAGACACCTTTCAAGTTCATAAGCTGTGAGCTTCTGAATACCGGTGACTTCAAGGGACACTTGAGCAACATAAGTATTTGATAATTAAACATTGCTATTACACATTTCTGCATCCAAGGTGTACATTAAGCATGGGTTTTGGACCTCCCATAGCTAGGAATGAGCAATTATGCTTACAGGAGTAAGTGTTTAGCATACAGCTTTAAAGATTTTCTACTTTTTAAAGGATTACTCTTATTTTTCCCTCTGTTCCAAATGGTGGTTCATGTGACTGGATTTCCCCTCTGTTATTCCCCCAGCAGCTATGAAGTGTTCACTAGTTTTAATGGAACATCACAAGATGAGTCAGAAAAACTGCAATATCCCCTAGCATTGTCAAGTCACTTGCAATTTCATTTGTAGTGTGCAGCAGAAAACCAATGATAGACTAGTGCTGGGAGCCACACATCTCAAAATAGTTCGTCATATCACTTAAAAAATAACATTGGAAAGACAAAATAGAGATAGAGAATGGCTCGAGATGATGGAGAGACAGCTTAAGAAGGCTAGAAGTCTTAGATATGAAAGTAGTATAGTCTATGTGTTCAAAAGCAAATGGATTTTCATCTAGTTTTAATGTTTTATATGCCACTGAGAACCATGTTTATTAATGTATCAGATGCGTTTCAGATGCAGTAGCAGTGTACTATACTATACACAGGTATAGCACCAGCCAAATCAAAGTTCTTAATACCTACCATGTTTCCCCGTAAATAAGACGGGGTTTTATATTAATTTTTGCTACAAAAAACACATTAGAGCTTATTTTCAGGGGATGTTTATTCAAATACAGTCATGTCATCATCTTCTGGTTGCTGCACAATAGTGGAGGGCAGGGTTTCACTTAACTGGGACTTATTTTTGGGGGTAGGGCTTACATTACGAGCATCCTGAAAAATCATACTAGGGCTTATTTTCAGGTTAGGTCTTATTTGGGGGGAAACCGGATAGTTAACAGCTCCAAGAACACGAAGTAATTCCCTTTCCGAGTGAAAACCTAAATAGGAAATCTCTTGCATTCACAGTTTACAATCCATCAGAAGTTGGGGAAAGTCCATGATTAGTAGAAAAGTCTTTTGTCTACTTTTGGAACGGAGGTAGAGAGACATCTTGTCTGATTTCGGTGGGCAAAAAGTTAAAGTTCTGGATGTTGGCCTGACTTCAAAGATCCTGTGCAAGTGATTTATCCAGATTAGAGCAATCTGCCCTTCACCTGGCCTCCTGCTGGGTAGAGAGGAGAATATGAAGGACATCGGAAAAAGAGGGGGCCAAAAATTGAAAATATAAAATCATCTTTTTCAGGAGGAAATGCAGCCTTAAACACACACACCCCTGAATTCCCCTCTGTTGTTCAGAGATGACAGATAGCCACTGTCTGTCCTTACCAGGGTGCCCTGGGATCTATAGTTCAAAAGAATAACATTTCCCATCTCTGCATCCCTTCTAGATAGAAGGAAGGTAACTCCCCAAGCCATCCATAGTGGCTTCATGTTGTATGGAACTCTTGGCAGCTAGAGTGCAAGAAATGTTCTTACATAAATGGAACCAATAACTTAAAATAAAACTCATTCAATATTGTTTTCTGCTTTCATAGCAGATTAATTTTACAATGAGACATTTCCCTAATGTGTTATATCGTGCAAATTATGGCAATCTAGAAATCTTTAGGTTTAGAATTTGTCTCAGGCCTGCTTCTGATCATTCCTGTAATACATAAATAGAGGAATGGCACCTGGGATGATAATCCTGTGGTAAAACAGCTTGAAGGGGCCCTAGTAGCATAGCCAATACAGCAGTGTCTTTTAATTAAGGCAACACACCAGTCTGGGTTTGTACACATCATTCCCTGAAGTTTCTTCTTCTTCTTCGTTGTCTCTGTGAATCATGCATGTGGGTTATTTCTGCAAATGCACAAAACTCCGTTGGAACATTCCAGAGCCTAAAAATTCTGGTAGATTGATCCCCTGCAGTGTGCAAGTTCTGTCCACCACCATATGGTAAACCTTCTGTTTCCTTTCAGCCATGATTGAGAAAACATCTCTTGGATTGTTTCAGAGCCTTTACCTTCTCGTCATCCATTTTCTCCCTGCCCTTTGTCGTCTTCCTTAATTCATTTATTGTTTTCATGAGTATTCCTCATTAGAAAAAGAAATAGAATAATTCGTTATCATTGCCTTGAGGCCTTCCTGCTTCTCATGGCTCCAACAGGCCCATTCAAAACATGCACCAGTTGCACTAACAAAATCCCTCTCACAAACAGAAGCTCAAAGTGTCTTTGCTGCTTGAGCGTGGGACACTGGACCCAGAACTGTCAGTTCTGTAGACATTTATAAAGTGGCCATCAAGAACTGACAATCCCACCTTAAATTCTATTTGTGGAAGAAAGCGCATCTCTAAAGAAGCAACAACACATTTCTAAAGAAGCAGCAACCTCCGTTTCTATCCTTCCAGCAGTAAGACATTATCCAAACAGTAGACACTAATGGAGGCAATTCAGCCTGAATCTGCTTATGTAAGATCTCAGAATGATTCAGCATCTCGGGATATGCAACTTGCTTAACCAACACCTCCCCTCAGGGTCGATCACAGGCATCCAGTATCAAGATCTACATCAGCACCTAAGCCAAAGTCTTCCTCTACAGCTAAAAAGAGGAAGAAGCATATTGATTTCAAGTCCAGCAAAGCCAAAAAGACCAAATTGGAGCCAAGGTCTGAAGAGCCCCAAGCCTTGCCTTCAGTTCCACTACAGAGCAAGGAGCAGGACAATTTGGTCTGCCTCAGATCACTTTGGAGGACATTGATTGGGCCCAAGACTCCATGTCTTCACCGTCATTCAGCCACTTGCCATAGTCGAGCCACCTGATTCAACAAGCTACAGAGAAGCTCTCCTCACTCTGTGGAAGCCCTTCTGACTTCCAGCCCACTGAAACAGCTTGAGGCTGACCACATTCCCAACAGCCTCCATTGAGAACTGCATCTATAATTCAGGAAAGGAGTTCTTCACCCTAGAAGTATCAGCAGAAGTCCCATCACTCCCACACCACAGCAAAGCCATTGTACCTCCGTACTACCAGCTTGCCCTCCCCATGGCACATCCATGTATTTTCTGATACCAGCATGTTACATTTCTCATTATGAGGCATAGACGGGATCAACATCGAGATCCCTAGAATCAAGCTATAGACATTCTGCCTCTAGATCACCAGAACCCAAGAGACCCAGAAAACAGTGGTCTCACACCTCTCATATTTCCCTTCAGTCGGTCTCCAGATCACCAGTGCTGGAGAGACCTCACCAACATGGAAACCACAGCCACCACAACATACCTTGTTCAGTTTCAAAGTCACTGGCACTGAGATGAACTGAAGCAGAAAACCCAAGCTGATTGAAATTTATCTTGAACAGATTTGAAGCCTACCTCACAAATTCTAAGGAGGCGCATTCTACACCGAGACAGAAACAGTGGCCTACATCAACATATTAAAGTATTTTGAACCAGTATTTAAATACCATTTCCCATACTTGACTTCACCTTCCTCATAATTATCAGCAGTGGGTTGACACCGAAGCTATAGACCCTCTGAGCCTATTTCCCCTTTGGGGGATCTTGCTACAAAAAAAGGAAAAGATATGGTTCAATATCTATGATATTGAGTCATTCTCAAAATCTTAAGCCAACTTCAAAACTGGTGACTAAACTTTCTAAAGATTCTTCAAAGGATTCCACCAAGTTGGCTTCCATTCCTAAAGAGAAAGATCAACACAAAATTAATGTTACCTCACATTCACAAACCTCTGAAATCCGGGGATGACTTCTCCCCATCCATTCTAGGTGCTACCTGGAATCACATGTATGTGGTTGACATAAATTCA